TGACTTCAAGTGGGGCTTCCTGACCCACAAACTGGCCGAGATGAGGGCGAAGGCCGCGCCCAAAGGTGACTAGCCGGACGGCCGAACCGGGCGCCCACTCCTCCTTCCAACATAAAAACCCTGGTCCCACAGCCCGTTTGCCCGCGTGCTTTTTTGTCTGGACAGTCGGGAAGGCTGCTTTTTGGTGGGCAGCCTCAGGGTGGGGGTCCGGCCGGAGGAATCCTTCCTTCTCCCACAAACATACAGGGAGAAAATGACCAGGGACAGCCAGGGTATCAGGCTAGATTGTGTTAGAGTTAGGGTACAACTTCCCAAGAAGCTGGGGAACCCCTGAGGACAGGCTCCATCGCTCTGCCCAGCCTCTTCTAATTTGGCAAACGTTGTCTGTGGTCCTACTATGTGCTTTGTCCTTGTAGTAGGAGGCTACAGACTAACAAGAGAAGTCAGACTATCAGCGGGTCCCACACAGGGTGACAAATCGAGGCTCAAAATATAGGGCTGTACTTGGGAGCTCAGAGGTGAGGCCGACTGGAGAGCTCAGGAATTCCTGCGGGAGAATGAACATACACAATCTTAGAAGGATGAGTGGAGAGAAAGGGAAGGGTAACCCAGGTAAAGGGCGGACCGTGAACCAAGACTTAAAGATGCAAACGTGTGCGGAAGACGGGTGACCTGGTGGTCTTTGAGGGAAAGGGCAGGATGTGAGGCTGCAGGTTGGCAAAATCCTTGTTTGGAGGGTCCTTGCCTTTATTACCTCAATTCTGCTCCAGCCCTTCATACCTTGCAACCAAAAGCAGGCAGTAAAACTCCAGGAATGGGGACCTTTCAGGCACGGGTGGCCCCCAGAGTTCTAGAGCAAGCCCTTCCCAGAACCCCCTAAACTCTCTATTCTTTCTTCCCGGCTGTAGTGTGGACCGACCTGGGGGTCGTGGAGGAAATGAGTAGTGTGAGTAGGTACTAATTCGGTAGTGGTTATAGCAGCTTGCCTTCATTGAGCACTTCTGTGTGCGGGGAACATTGTCATGAGCTTTACAACTATTTCAAAAATGTTATGATCACCGAGGGGTGCACCTGCAGTCCAGAGACGGAAAGTGCTCGCCCAGGGAGAGTCACACAGTCAGCCTTGCACCCATACTCCAAAACCCACGCAAAACACACCCGCAAACCCGCCCCGCCCCTTCCTGAACATCAATCTCACGACTCGCTTAACGTTTTGCCTTTATTCAGCAGGTTCCCTGAATTCTCAGCCCAGTCTTCACTCCCCAGACCCGGCCTCCACCGGGGCCACGAGGAGGCCTCCTCCGCCTCCGCTGTCCGCACTGGGATGGGTCTTGGGAATCACCTCGTCCCACGCCCCCCACGGTTCCTTGGGGAAGCCAAGATCCAGAGTGGGGAGGAGGGGCTTGCCAAAAGGCCACCCGCGCGCCAGAGGCAGGGCGTCCCTGCCCGTGCCCGGGTCCAGCCCCGCGCTCACCCCCTGCCCTTCCCCAGATACCAGACTCCTCGGGAGCCCGCTC